TATGTTATAACTGCAGTTTCTTGTCAAAACGCGAATGGAAAGGGCTGACACATGGATTATGCAGGATTGAGAATAAAAGTTACGTAAGTAAATTTCATAAACAGTTGAGTTAAAGGTACTTCAAAAACGGGGTATAATTACCTAGGAATATACGCTGCAATTTAAGCGACATTGGTACCGGAGAATTTTGAGCCACTCGCACTTTTTCAGGTGGTGGGCGAGTGACATGTTCGTTGGTTGCGTAACCGGGGAAGGTCAGTGAAAGGATACCAAGCTGACACTTGGTCAGATTGAAGCGATTAGGATACCGTCGAGGTGAGCATAAGTAAAGTGTTAACCATGCATAACATCCTGGATGAGACACCGAAAGGTCTGCATGGTGTTTCGTGGTCCAAAAGACATGCACAGAAATTCAAGCAGACCGAATATTGTAATGACTGCAGTCTCCGGCATGTCATCCGGATGTACGGGTGTTCGATGGTACATGAGCGCAAGGTCAAGCTTGCCGAAGGCCGCCGCACTTTTCAGTGTGGCAGTCAGGTCGTGTATCTGAGGGACGGGGTAGCGATCAACCGTCATTTTAGCTTTGACCCCTCGTTAGTTACCACAAGACCTCAGATCCTCGCCATTGCCTTTTGGCGCCATATGCATGGGTGAAGATCATAGGCTGTTGGATAGATCTGATTATTCCCATCCAAGGCATGCTTTCAGACTTCGATTTGATGGCAGACAGTTCAGCGGACATTGGTGGCCAGTCGTCATTATGCTATGCTTAACGTGGAGAGTCGGACGAAGTATACTACGACTTTTCTCCAAGATATCCAGAAAGGACTGAGTCACAGACATGTAAGGACTGGAAGTGTCCGACATGGAGTACACTGGACTGCAAAAGAACGTCTGTGTGACAATGCCGGGGACAGAGGGTCCTGTGGTACGATCAGCCAACTTGATCTTACCAGCATCTAACAGCTCCTGACGCTGCTGAGAAAGATCCATCCCAACCATGTTGATAATCACATCGGCCACAACGTAAATGCAGAGGAAAGAACGACGTACTTCGAGGTTAAGACCGAGGAACTTCGATCGTAAGTTGTTATTGACTAAAGATGACGGCGCAAAGTTGTACAGCCGCTGGGTGCAGGTGCTCTTCACTAGTAGGTAGGATAACACCAGCCTCTACTCTAGTGTCATCCAGGAAGCGTATCGCGAAAGTGTCAATCCGGGAAGTAGAAAAGTAGTTTACCGTCGATGTCAGTTGTCATTACGTGTTGGCCTACGCGTTTCCCGCCCGCTCGGCCTCGCAGGTGGAGACTCGAGTGCACCTTTCTGCTTTGATACCGTAACGTCTACATCTCTGTCAGCTGCTTACTCCAGCCTCATCAGAGGGGGCGTGTGGAAGGGTGCTAGGATTCCCTGCACGTCTGTGGAAATCTCTGGAACGACAGCTGCTTGAGAAATGCACCATCATTCCTGCAGTCTGCAGGCGGCTGCTTCATGCGACAAAGCAGCGGCGTAGGCCAGTGATCACCGAGATGCACATCGGCAAAAAGTTCCTGTACTGTAATGTTCCTGCACATTTCCAGGCAAACTCACGATATCTAGGCTTGACTTAGTTTCCTGTGAGTGCATACGCTTTTAGACAAATGGAGCTTTCACGTGGGAGAACCACGCAGGTAGTCTACGGGCCCAGAAGATGGAGAAGATGGGGAGCTATGGGCATCCGTGCAGTGGAGCTGTTGTTACCAACCAAAAATGAGGGATATAATGAGACACGAAGCTGATAATAACAGAAGCACAATGTAAGATACCCAGCAGAAAACGCGGTACAAAAAAGAAAAAACTGTGAAAAATAAAAGTGTAAAACAAGTGAGTCGACGAAATACAAATCAGGAGGACTTCTAGTAAGGGATATACTCAAAGGAGCAATATATCTGAATGGAACAAATGTGATAGTTGTTATAAGAAGCAAACTTTATCCAACTTATCTCGCCACTATGGCCAAACTAGTGACTCTGAAGATGTACGTGTTAACCAACACAAAGGGGGTACGAAATGGCGTCGAAGACTCCTTTGATGCATTTTTGCTGAAACAGAACTCAGGGAGACACAAGCATCCGGATGCAGACTAAAGGTTTGTTTAGCCATTTTTTAGTTGATTCAATTTAATCTATTTATTTTGGCCCCGGTTGCATTTCGATGCCAGGAGGATGTACCGTAGATGGACTTCTTTTTCACGTGAACTGGTTTGAAGCAGATTTCCGCTCGCAAGCAGTGTTGAAAACATTTTGGCTGGCCATCTTTTTCTTTCTCATTGTCAACATACATGTTTTTGAAGTTGCCTGCGTTGGAGCTGCGACAGTGTTGATGATTTTGCATTTCTTTAAGACAGACTGCTATGTGAAATTATCAGAAAGATTTGTTATGAACCGAAACCCTACGCAGAACACTATAGATTGGTTGTTTGCAAGCTAACCTCCCCTAGTTTGTGAGTTCACTAGTTTACTAGCCGCTCTTAAGCCCAGATTGAGAAGGAAGGTGGGACGTGGAACTAGCGTCACCACCTCGAAAAATCGATCCCGCCGCTAAGGAAACTTCAAAGCGCATGGAAAACATAAGAAATAAATACAAACTTCTTCCTCTCTGGAATCTGGGAGACGAGATGACGCCTGTTAGTTCGGAAAGCCAATTGGCCAGTTGACGTGTGAATTGGTCTTCCCTCGAAGAAAGCCAAAATAAGCATAGGCACATGCAATGTACGCATATGTTCAAAGCATACATTGTGCTCTGGCAAGGCTTGCCAGATTGCAAACGAGATGACAACGTATAGCATGGAAGTGCTAGTAACCTGCGTGGAATGCGTCAATGAAGTGGAAGCGTCAATGACAACTGGAGGGTCAACAATCCACTCCGATATTGTTACCCAGACGACGACTACAAACACACTGCGTTCTGGAGTGGCAATCACGATGTTTCCAACAGCGTCGAAGGCTCTCATGCAGTGGGAACCAATCTCTTCCTGCAGGATCGCGATTATGACAGCAAGATTCAACTGTATAGGAAGGAAGGTCACAATCACACAATACTACGCTACTTGCCCACAAATAATGCAGGTGAAGAGAAGAAGGAGGAATTCTACAAACAACTGCAATCAGCAGTGGACGAGGTTCCGGTTGGTGATGTAAAAATTCCAATGGGTGGGGTTACATGGATGCCGAACTGGGAGCAGACAGCAATGAAGGCAAGCACATCATGGGTCGAGAAGCATTCGGTGAAATGATCGAGAATGGAGAACTCTCCGCGGGCTTCTGCGTAGTCAACGATTTCCTGATTGGAGTCACTGTGTACAAACACACGGATATTCACAAAACGAAATAGATTTGATTTCACCAGATAGACACACTGAAAATCAGTTCGACTTCATCTCAATGTGAAGAGAGCGGAGACGCAGCCTACTGCTTACGAGATCAGATCAAGTAGACGAGCAGATACAGGTTCACACCACTCGCCTCCTGGTACTAGGATCCTTCCAACTCAAGTTTAAAGCCTTCAATTCTAAGAAAAGGAGGGCTAGAGGTTGGGAGGTGTTCGTACATTCCAAGCTTCGAAAGCACATGATAACAAAGCCCTATGGGTAGGACAAAAACTTGATGAGGGGTTTTAGGGTGGGTATGAGAATGCTCGCAGCCTTGCGAACTAAAGGACAACCCTGAGGAACACAATGAGCTTTGAAGGATGGGGCTTTTTTTGGGATAGGCGGTAGTGAAGGGCAGTCACGGGGATACTTTTTCCTCTCAGAGTGTGAGACTAGTTCGCAGAGGTAGTGTTCCCATCCTTTATGTAACGAACACTTAATTTGTGGACACTACAGACAACTAAGTACACAAAACTAGAATTTGTGAAACGTTCGGACAAAAAATGGACAATGAGCTAACACCGTCTGAGCACGTCATAGTTTCAGGTGTGCGATGGAAATTGTCTTCTTAAGTGAGCCAACTGTCTGGGCAGAGGTGCTAATACTTAGTCGTAGTAGGTTCCAGTGTACAGAAATTCGAACGGGGTAAACCAACAAAAGACTACCAAGGGAATTACTTGATCACAAGTTTATCAAGGCTTCAAAACCTCGTAGTTTTGAACCCAGTATGACATACATATATACATCTACATACAAAATAATGGAGAGCAGTAAGTTCAAGTCAGTCGACTCGTCCTGCCATGGGTCATCTTAAGGGGACGAAAACCCTATCCACCTTAGGTAAATTATGTAGTGCGCAACTTACTTTGACGGAAGAAAAGGTGTTAGAGCCCAATGGAACCGATGGACAAAACTATGGTGCGGAAGAAGATATTAGTGAAAAACTTGGGCACTGTGGTAGAATGTAGTTTCATATTAGATTTGTTTATTTGATATAAAGCGCAATCAATTAAATAATACTGTATCACTGTGCGCTTTATATCAAATAAACAAATCTAATATGGAAGAAGATATTGTCTACTTTTAACATAGGAGTGGTGGTTAGGAAGCTGAACCACCCTCACAATCCGATCAGCTTTGAGAAAGCCCCCTGTTCTGTATTTCATTTCACGCCGCTAGCACCACTCGCTCTTTTGCCCAGTAATGCTTAGTCATTCTGATTGAATACTTACTAGTCGTTCATTGTCACTTTCGATGCCGCCGTACACGCTGCTTACATGAAGGCCAGCACCACTGCTGAATCTCGTCCTTCCTTAGGCGATTCGGACCAACATCAACCTTTATTTTTGATAAAAGTCACCTTTCAAAAGAAACTTCGAAACATATAGAGTGGAATCCACCTCTTCACCTCGAAGTTAGAAGCAGGTTTCCTGGTCTTCCGGAACATCTAGTTTATCTTCATTTTTGCCAATTAAGTGGAAACGACAAATGTGTTATATATGGATACATCAGTTATCGCTTTTTGAGAGGACCTTAACACATAGGTATCTAGACCAAGTATCATTCTTTCGTTTAAACAAGTCAGTGAAATGACCTTCCGCGGTTACCCATAAGCTTATTTTTTAACATGGTTGAAATTGATAGCCATCGCGAAGCAAGACTTACTCGATACAGCGAGCTTTTAGAGGCATTTGGATCGGTAAAGAAGGAATTTATACCTTATTTGGCTTCAGTTTGATGTTGAAAATATCGGTTCATTGAGTACAAAGTACATCATTCCTGCTTTGAGGAAGCTTGGTTGTAAAGCCAGCGAATCCGAAATACTTCAAGCTGTCAAAGCTGCAGAAGTCGGTGAAAACTGTGATAAAATAACGTTTTATGACTTTAAACGAGTAATTATTGGATTACTATGGTAAACCACTCCGTCACAGATTTATCAAGAAGCATGTAAGGGGGATCCCATGGTTTCTGCTATCGGAAATGCCGGTTCTAAATCTAACCTTTATCATTATGGCACGTATGAAGGCAGAGTGGAAGATGACACTTTACATAGTGTGAGTGAGGAAGAGCAAGTTGGATTTTCTAGTTGGATTGAGAGGTGAGCAATTTTTTCCTTTCATTTTTTTCAACAGAAACTTACGAGATGACCCTGAGTGCAATTGTTACTTTCCATTCAAGTTGGATGGCAGTGATCTGTATGACAAATGCAAAGACGGAATAATATTATGGTACGTATAAGCACGTCTCAAATTATACATCAGTCTTTCATTTTTTTTAGTTCGTTTCTTACATTCACATAACATGGTGATTTCTCGACTACCTATCTTCGTCCTTACTTGTTGGTTTATATTTTCAGAAATTAAGGCTTTTGAAAGAAGTTTTGTCGAACATTACGACTTCCTCAGTGATATGAACATTTGGTATTTTCTCGACAGAGTCATTGTTAGGTGCTGAAACTTGGTACCCCTCCACGGATTTTCAATATTTCAGAATTCATAAACAGTTCGCTGATGGAATTTGAGACCGAATAAAGGACTTCATTAGAGATTTGAGACGAAAAGAAAGGGCTTGTAGGGTCTTATCCTTGTGATTAATGATGAAGAATGATGTGCTTCAGAGTAGAATTTTATGGTATCTTACCCTCTCACCATATTTGCGTGAAATACCTTTAGAAATAACGTTACCTTTTCTCATGTTAGCAGATAGCGTTAAATTCCGAGTAACCATATAAGCTGGATTTACGACAAGATGTAAATATCTGGAATAGTCAGACAGACAGTCACAACAAAGTCAGATAAATAAGGGAGTAGTTGTAAAAATTGGTTGTAGCAGCCTGCGTTTCTAATCGACCGGTGATTCTCTACTGCCTAAGGTTTCTGAGAACAAGGACCTAGGTTCCTCGTAGCTCGTCACCTTAGAAATGTGGAAGACTGCAGAACAGATGTTGCAATATCTCTCCTAAGATGATGTCTTCTTAGCAAGATTTTTTAAAGATTCTTTAAGAGTACGCTTGATGCATCATTCAAAAGATATACTGGACATCATTAAAAATACAAGACTTAATTGATCAGCTCACGTTTCAGACATAATTCGTATGTGTTGTAAAAAGCAAAACTTATATGTATCGACTGGGTGATAAGCTTTTCATGACCATACTGGGAAGACAGACTAAACCTAGTGGACCAGTTACCTTTGTCTAATCATAAACTGAGAAAGTAATTCACATTTGTATTCCACATCTTGAGCAATGACTGTAGGGCTGAATTATTATACTTGCCTGTCTAATAAAGAGTTGGTCACTTCAGCGGATATCTTCTTGGAGTCGAAGAAGAGCAGTCAGTCTTTATCTGGAAGTTCGTTTGTCACATCATACTGCTAGCGAGAGGAATTTTTTATTTAAACACTTATTATCAACAACAAGTTTACACTCATTTATAGAAGAAATTGACTTTCCTTTTAGCCTAGATTATGTAAATTATCACTGGGCCTAACAAACTGCCCCTCTTAGTGAAGAGTGAAAGTTGGAAATACAAATCTTTTCACGTTAGGCTGTAAGACGTTATCCACATACTGAAAAAACTTAGTAATTCATCATAATAGCAGCCATAAAAAGCTCCGACTATTTTAGACTTTATGTCTGGAGTTTGTGCTAGCATATTTGCATCACATTTGAAGCACAAACTGAGTGCTTCGATACTATATTTTTTGCTGAGGTCCAACGTACGTGTAAAATGAATAGTATTGGAAATATATCATCACAACTTTGGAAGTAAGAAGACCATCGATCCCTTGAAACTTTGGCAGTTTGTATCCTAAAATTTACCAAACCTATATAGTCCCAGTTTGTAACAGCTCAAAAATCGCCACGCGGGGAAACACAATTTAGTTGTTAAAAATTTCTGAGTATGCATGAAGATCAACATGATTAGTACAAATGAATACACTATTTTTGCTACTGGTAATCCATGACCACTTAGTAGGTCATTACACTAATAAACTTACATCTTCTTGGAAATCTGTTACATCCTTATCGACGCGCATAACTACCAAAAGCCTAACGCAAGCCTTAAAGTAAATGAGCTTTAAAATCTTTTCAGCACTGACCACTTTTCTAAGTCCACCAATTTTTATTTAGAGGACGGTTGAGTGGTGTTGGAACAACCAACTAAAGACATTAAATAAATCTTGATTGCTCAACCCCAAATTTAAGTATTGGTGTTACAGTCACTCGGGTAAGGTTTGAAAATGAAATACCTCTGAAAAACGTAGGTTACATACCGGACTATGTCAGTTGGAGTTTTATTTCCAACCTTCTCGTTAGACAATATCCTGTGATATGATCAGCAACTTGGTTTGCTTAAGCCAGTAGATTCTGGATATCACAGTTTGGTTACAATTTCAAAGCAAAAGAAAACAATTATCTGAGAGTGCTTGTTCACTTTATTTGTTTACTCGCCCAATGCAACAGTTAAAAATGAGTTTTGTCAAATCAGTCGGAGACAGAACATACCTTCGTTATTTATTTACTGGAGAGGTACCCGGTATCACACTATTAACTGATTTGTTTAGGGCTAAAATATGTTGTTACAAGGGCAAAACATAAAATAACTGGTATAATTCACACCAGAATACTTGTCGTACGTTTAACTGAAGCATATAAGATATTACTGTGATAAGCTGGTAATTGCATTAGCAATCACAGAAATTCAGACACAGGAAGATTGGAATAAACTGCTGAAAACAGTTTCTTGTGTTAAGAATAAATATTCCGCTTACTTATAAATATGAAGATGGCACAGCTTGTAAGCCATTTATCACTCGTATGCTCATAGGCATTATTCATCGAGCCACACTCAAAAAGTCACCATAAACCGAATTGTTGAAATGTAGCTCGTAAATTCCCACTGATATCCCTATTCATTTCGTGTTCACTTACCAGTACCATTAAACTGTAGACAGATATCGACAAATTGACTAACGTCTTCAAAAGGAATAACTCATAGCTTTTTCAATCTTTAGAAGTGAGATATATTACTGTAGCTTTTATTTCAAGTCAAGAATTATATTCTCAGCTTACGCACAGAGTATGTAGGTGGTGCAAAACTTAGAAAAAAGCCTTGAACGTGATATTCATTGTTTACTGTCTGGGTTTTAGTCAAGAGCGACAAAGCTGTCACCTCCTTGATGATACTTCGTTATAGGTGATACTTGTGGCCTTCAGAGGCATATATGAACTAGAGAAGAAAAAAATCCTAGCTAAAGAATTGCATACATAAAATCCTGTGTAGTGCTCATTGTGAAACTTGCTCTTACTTAACGGATGTGAATGAGCCTCAACTACATAAATTTATCGGTTTTTTATAGTGAGTATGAACTAATTTCAATCTATGAAAACGTTTATGAGGTTATAGTTAGCCTAATGAGATAAATTTTATGGCTTTGAGTCTGATGAAACCAGGTTTGACATATCCAACTTGTAAAATACATCCCTTTTATCTGTAATTCGGAACCGACCCTCAACTAGTTATAAAAAAAACTCTACAAATCATTTATACCTTAGACAGTAAAAGCTTGTTTTTAAGTCTGGGGGGGATTTTTATTACACAATATTGAAAGTGTGAGATCCTTTCTTTTGTCTCAAATAATGATTTCACACAGTATTATACAGCAAACAACACATGCATAGTAGTTTCCCATGGTAGCCTGTCTTAAATTTGTAATTAAGTGGAAAGTTCTAATTTAGATGAATAGTGATTTCGATTCTTGAACTTTTGACATGAAAAGGAAGTTGAGAGACAGGCATACTTGCATCTCTATGAAAACAATCATTTTGTGTCTAAGTTAGTGTACATCACATGTATTGATAAACTACAATAAAGAATAAGACATTTTTAGTCGATGATCAGCACTCTCCATATCAACTATGGGACTTGCTTGAAGCCTTAGTCTATACTGTAGAATGAATTTTCTGAGTGGTTGCTTATCATGTTTTGTACCTTTTCCTTTCTATCAGTTTTCATACATTTCAATTCTAGCGGATGAAATTTTTTACTCATTGGAGATAAATTTCTTGCAAAATTTATATTAGATTAGGGTTCCCACTATGTGCTTTTATGTGGTTATATTGACATTCTCAATTGTCTAGTATGGTCATAAGCTGACAAAGAAACACTTAATCTTTTATTTACGAAAGAATAAAACATCATATCGGTGGTCATTATCTCAACATGCATGATTTTTGGAGCTGTTAACTATTAACACTATTAACAACAGTGTTCAAAACGCTGGGATACTCTCAATGTTTCTTGAACATGTATGATGCTGGCACTGATCCCATCAAATTGCAAGTTAGAATTTAGTTCTAAACACTAATTGCTTGGAAAGCCAGACAATATAACCATCTTTCATATAGCGCATGCAGTGAATCTAAGATGTAAATTTAATATCACTAACAAACTGTAGATTTCTGTAAAACTCAAAGATTCACGATCAGTTTTTTTTTCCGTCAGTCGACTAATTCTTCTCCTTGATTTTGTTAGTTGCAGAATATCCACAAACTATCATACTGCCAACCAGTTTTTCTCTAGAATTAAAAAGAGACTTTCGATCTGTATTCGCTCCTTAATATCATTGATGGATGGTATCTAACAGTATTTCGCTGTTGATTTGTGCATAATGTCGCACAAACTAGAAGATCTACAGGCAAAAACCAACAAGTTGATAGAAGAGGCAAGGCAGCGGAAACGGGACTTCAAGTGAATATCGAGAAGACGGAGGTAATGAAGATGCCCAACCAACAAAAGCATCAACAACAAGCACCAATCACTATCAATGGGAGAAATCTGAAGGAAGTTGTCTCTTTCACCTACCTATCCAGATAGCATCGTTTCAACTACACGAGGTGGTGTCACAGATGGGGACGTCAAAGCCAGGATGGGAAAAGCAAGACAGGCTTTCACTAATCTGACATAATCAGTGTGGAGATCTTCTGCACTCAGCACAAAGCATGAACAACATCCAGATTTTCAACACTGATGTTAGTCAAGTCAGTGCTTCTATGTGGTGGTTGAGAAATTGGAGCGTATCGAAAAGTAATTCCAACAAACTACAGACATTCATCAACACCTGCCACCCACGCTCACTTGATAATGAAGCTCAGATGACCAGAATAATAAGAATGAGCAAGAAGGAACTCTGGCTGGTTGGCTGGATGGCAACGAACCAACCAAAAATCTATCACCCAACAAATATGCAGAGGAAGAAAGTGGAGGTGAATCGGCCATACACTTGGAAGGCGGACTGGGGACATCATGCGCCAGGCTAGGCCCTCGAGTGGAATCCAAAAGGCGACGAGTTGGGAGACCGAGGCGAGGGTGACATGGAGGAAATTGTGTGTGAGGAAGAAATGAAAGCTTGTAGGCAGTCATGGAGCGAGGTTCAAAAGACTACAGAGAAGGTTGCACAATGGAGACGTACTACTGAATCCGTATGTTCACTAGGAACCCAAGGGAAAAATAATAACAATAATATTCTAGAAGTGGGACCCAGGTGGCATATTCTCTTGTGTTCGTGACTCGTGAAGTGGATGTATCTATCTCCAGGTGAGTTATGTTGTTCCCACCAAGATTTGAACTGATATTCAATAGCTCCAGATGCTACAGAGGTGTCCACTAAGAAACGAAGGCATTCATTGTACAATAGGTATAGTATTTTGTAATTTTCCTTGGTTGATTGGACTGAATTCATTAACCACTATTCGCATATGGGCTCCTGCACAAGTGCCTCGATATTTCTAGTATTTTCGATTATAAATTAATGTTATATATTTAATTTTTATTCATATAGTCATTATTATTATTATTTTAGTAAGATTATCAATTGTTCTATACCGAAAACAATTGATCATCGTGCAATGAATAGACACTTACCTTTAACTACTTATCAAATGCATGAAAATATCACTTTAGCGTTGAATAGCGCACGAGCTATTGGATGTAATGTGGTGAATATTGGAGCTGGAGATATTTGGAATGGTACTAAGCATTTATTGTTGGGACTACTTTGGCAAATTATCAAAGTATGCCAGCTTAAAGACTGCAGTTTTTTCTAATAAGTTCATTTGGTTCATTTTTTAAAGTTAACCTATTGTTTAATGCTTCACATGTTAGTGGATTATTTTATTCTACACTTATTGCATAATAGCTGGAAATAGTGTTGTTAAGAAGTCCGCTTAGCTCTCTAAACATCTTCAGGAACAAGTGCCTATAAAAGTGACATGTATTTTTGAATTATTCACTATTTCGACCAGTAATCGGTCTACTTAACTAGTTGGTTGTAGCCTAATATTACGTAAATTGACTTAGACTACTGTTATACCTCTGGATAACTCATAGAACTGACTGTTTCATTGTAAAATCTTCATACTTCATTGATAAATTTCAGAGTATTCCATTAAATTTTTACGAAGATGGATCCTTAGCTCACCTGAGGTCAAGATAAGTTAGTTATAAGGAAACGTCTCATCAGTTCTACTTTAATTTACGACTTGCTAGTTGTATAGGTGAGTTAGTAGGCTATTGAACACAATTAATAACAGGCTATCTTCATAAATATTCAGAGTGATAATAATAATAATTCCCTTATTTCAACTACCGGTTTGATACAGTATGGAATTTTCAGCTTATAATAGTTCAACAAATTCATTCCTTGTACAGTAGTTTTAGTAACAACAGTAATAAAGGCTGTAATGTGAAACAGCCACCTGGCATTGCTTAGTTATCCAAGGAATAGTAATATACTGTGTTTCTTTTCATTGATAACCTCGTCTATTACCGGTGTATCGTTTATTCCTTGTTTTGTTGTCAACTTGAAGAACGACAGTTTGGAACCATTTTAAAAGTGTGAAAGAGTACTTGACGCCTTTAAAAGGGATATTTGAAAGTTTCAAACAAGTCAAAAAGGAAAGAATTCGATGAGATATATTTGGTGGTAGCTTTCTGGTAGCCCAGAGTTTAAGCAAGCCACCTTGGTATAATTGGAAAATAGATGACTCCTATCAGCAGTTGTGGATAGAACAATAATTATTCAAGTTGATATTTATCACAAACTAACATCATTTGGAGGACTAATGAAAACCTGGGAACATAAGGTAACTGTTGGATCTTAATATCGGGGGGGGGGGGGGGGTCAAACCCAGGACCTTCATGGCGACGGCGTTATCACTGAGCTATGGAATATGAATCCAATGGTCACGGTTTTCCTAGTTTCACTAATTTGCTACAAAGCACAACCTTGATTCAGTCCTATTACTGGGTATTTTTCCTCATAATCAATTTGATTTGTTATAGATTAAAGAAGATGTGCATTACTTGGTCGAGACCCAGTGGATCAATTGTAACATGACGATTTTGGGTTCGATTCCAGAAGGGGTCATGGGCGTGCTCTGCTGAGAGTCCCACTGCACTACCAAACAACTGTTCAGTGCTGATAGGTTCGCAGTGGTTCTCCATGTGATGCTAGTCATGATGATTAGCAACCTGAAAACTGTAAATCCCTATAAACCCCTCAAAGAAATCCTAACTAGATAACGATGAAACAATATTGTCAAGTATTTGTAGTCGTAGAGATTACTTGACACATGAGAATTATTTCATTAGTAACCAGTGAATCAAGTTCCAGGTTGTTTTCTTTCTATCCCTATTAAACAAACATCAGTTTTAAGCCTTTATTGAAACCTGTGAATATGGGACTAGAGCCTAGGCAAGGAAACTGCATACAGCATATTTGACTGTTAATCAAAATCAGTAAGAAACTCTGATACTGAGTAACTCATTTTAGACTAAATGATTTCTGTTATGCGACAAAATTCAATTTACTAATATAGACCGATGAAACGTTACATGAAATTGCTGTATTTATTCGAATAAACAAAAAAATAGATTAAATGTTAAATGTTGATCAGATGAACGAAATTTTAAAATGACTGAAAAGTTAACTAAAAACATGATATATTTAGTTGAAAACATTTGTCCCTCGATAGAAATTTCAGTAGGACTCATCAGTTGTTTACTCTACATAAATGATTTCATGTACTGTTATGTAATAAAAGAATACATACACATATAATACTGACTAAGATATTGAATGAGACATAGCAACACGGAGTGAATCATTTACTTTTGTCAAACATAGATGAGATTAGATGGAGAGGGGGTAACGAAATGATTATGAAAAATAAATGGTATAGGGATGGATTACACCATTTCTAGCTGAACAATTAATAGTCAACCAGATAGCTTGATAAAGATGCACACTAAGAGAGCATAGGTGCTAGGTGAACAAAAGTGTTCATGATAGATTAAAAGTGACATCATTTTGAACAACTTAAATGAACATCAATTAATAGGCTTGGTAACAGTATAAAACTAAGGGAGGCTAGAGAAACAGTTGGATGACAACAATGATAATGACGATGGAGATAAGTTATTTGACTATTAAACGGAGAAGTTTCAGGGGATATGGATAGTACAGCAGAATTAGGATAATGGAGAGGTAAATATGAGAAGTATAGGAAAAAACAAAGTGGAAAAGTCAGACATTTATGAGTAAAAGTAAAAAAGTTCAAAATGTTTCCATACCCCTACCATGGTAGATTCAGGGTGACTACTATCTTTTTCTGTGCAGATAGTCTGAGTTCACAAACTCTAAGTGCACACGCTTCCACGATTGAAAGTATTTTCTTATTCCAATGTTTGCTGACAACCGAGAAGGCCTCAGTGACGTCAACATCTTGTCAATAATCCATTAATTGTTTCGTAATCGAACTCTGCTAGATTTTTGAGTTGACTTGCCTTAGCCATTCTGGTAAGTGCTCAGTCATGCGAGTAGACAGACGGATTTCCTAACGACCTATGTATTTGCTTCCACAAGTACATTCGAATTGGTATAAACAGTTAGATGTGCCGAGGATTATGGTCATGTCAATTCCTGGTTGCTGAAACACCCGTCTGCTGGTGCTCAGAAGTATTGGCTTACATGCATAATAAGTTCTTTTGATGACCTTCTTTAGCCTCCGCTTAACTACTTCTAAGACATCGTCTCCTTTAAAAGGCAACTGAATAAATACTAACGTTTTTGGACCCGTAAGAACTGCTGTTTCGTATTGCCTACTTTCCGAATACTTACTGACGAAGCCTTTAGGCTAGCCCTTATTTATTACGATGTAGTTCAAAGTTTATATTTCGTAATGAATGGCACTGTAAGAGAGAATTTTCTTTGCTCTTTGATTAAGTCCCCTTTATATTGGTTTGGAACAAAACCCTTGAAGTGGAGATATTATCCTGACCATGAAGTCTTTCTATACATCCATCATTCTTTTTTACCTAGAAGACATCTAGGAAGTTGGTATGATCATTTTCTTTATGTTCAACTCCGGAGTTGAGGTTTACGTGAAAAGAGTGAAAGTTCTTCAGCGGGGTTTTTGCTTCCACTTTACTTCTACATACAATAAAAATACCAGTTTATTACCCCCTCCCAACCTAATCTCAGCAGTGTTTGACACAAGTAAATGATTCACTCCGTGTTGCAATGGCTCAGTCATTGTCTTAGTCTGTGCTACGTGTGTTTGTATTTCTTTATTACACTGGAATAATTAGTGATTTACACCAGTCAGAGGGGATCGTTTTTGATTCCCATATACTAGTTAGCACTTCCATTAACCTAAGAGTACTCTACCACTATCCCTGTATACCTCAGAAGTTAGTCCGTCTGGTCCTGATGCCCTACTTCACTTCAGGTTAGGGCAGCAGGGTCAGAGGGAAAAACCCCTGAGGTATACAAGGATGGTGGTAGAGTGCGCCTAGTCAGGTTATCGGAAGTGTTAACCAGTATATGGAAATAAAATACGATCCTTCTGATTGGTCTAAAACACTGATTATTCCAGTCTTCAAGAAAGGCGAGAAGTCCTCTTGTGATAACCACAGAGGAATCAGTCTGATGAACATAGTATCTAAAATTCAAGGTCCTGTAATTCTTCGATGCCTGCGTGGAGCTAGGGGACAGCAAGTTCAAGAAAACTAGGCAGACTTCAGACCCGGCCGTGGGTGTACCGGCCAAATATTCACACTGTGCCAGATTCAATAATACAGGCACGCTTGCCGACGCGCGAATATAGCTTTACTTCTCGACCTGAAGGCGGCATTTGACTTCATTGGTGAAGAACTCTTATATCGACGTCTCTCACTGAAACGCGTGCCGAGTAAGTACATCACCTTACTGAAGGCTGTCTACTCGAACACTTGTGGGCGTGTTAGAGCCTATGGTGAGATATCCCGGGAGCTGTGGTCATCGATTGGTGTACGTCATGGCTGCCCACTCCCTTCGTTCTTATTCAATGGTATCACAGATATTCTTATAGAGGTCTCCCTCTCGTCATCTGATTACACAGAGGTTGACGTAATCACCAGGGAATTTGCATTAGACCTAGAATATGCAGATGGCAAAGTCCTGTTAGGTGAAGACGCTGACAAGATGCAGAGTCTTCTGAACACTTTGAGTGGCAATTTGAGAATGTTTGGGATGCGTTCTCACCACACAAATTCAAATTGTTGCTCCAACATTGGCCTTTAACGGTGTCTCTGTGTCTCTGGTGGCCCAGTGACCGACAAAATTTCTGCACGAGTACGAAAGGCCTGACTTGGTTTTGCCAACTTACGCCACCTGTGGCGCCACTGTGATATCCGATTGCCTATTAAGCGTCGCGTGTACCGCACAGCAGTTCTCTCTGTTCTACTATATGGCTGTGAAACATGGCCATTGAAGGTGGAAGACATGAGAAGGCTTCAGGTGTTTGACGACCGTTGCCTTTGTAGTATAGGCCGTATTCTGTGGTGTCACCATGTGAGTGATGCAGAAGTCAGATGCATAGTTTTAGGGAGAAGAGGTAAATCAGTTGACACGGTTGTGAACTTTGGTCGATGAAGATGGTTGGGATACGTGTTACGTATGCCTTATCACGGATTACCTCATCACACAATGTTGGCTGAAGTAGGTTCAGGGTGGAAAAAGGTTGTAGGCGGCCAAACTAAAACATGGCATCAATGTATGAAGTCTCTGACTGTTGGTTTGAGTCATGTGGGGAGATGCAGCCTGGGTGGTTGAGGTCGGGGGGACAAGAGGAACTAGTGGTTGGAGAATCTAGGTGACATTGCTCAGAACCAGTGTGAGTGGCGCAGATGTATACACACATTGTCCTCATCTTAACGCTATACCGCTATTTCTTTTGACTGAGTTTTCTTTTCTTCATCTTCCACTTTACTGCCTTTTTACTGAATGTAATGATAGGAGCTATGCCAACTTGTACTGTTATGCAGTAATGCCTTGTCCTATGCTGATTTGAATGAATGCATAGGTTATTACACAAGAGTATGTGAAATCATGTCTATAGAGTAAAACACTGACAAGTTCTGCTGAAATCTATGACTTCAATAAATTCTTCTTTGGTTACTTTTTTTGCTTGTTTTAAATTTAGTTGATTTTAGAGTAGTTTAAGAATAGTCTTTAAGTGAAAATAACATAGTTCCTGTAAAACATGTTGATTAGTTTCTAACTGAACTCAAAGTAAACGTAATTGTAGTGTTGTATTTTGACCAGTGATCTTCTTCCGATATATGTAAACAAGATTTTAAAGTTAATCCGTTTATGCATATACCTTCTTTGACTTTATCCTGAAGTATTATTCTTATCTTAACAAAAGAAGTTACCTAGATGGTGGATGGTCATAAGGATTTGATAAAAATCCGTTGTACAATGTTTCCTTCATGTTTCTAATTATCACCACTATGTAGAGATATGCGTAACCTCAAGCGAACTGATACTAACTAATCGATTAGAACCTACGTCATGTGGCAAAACAATTAGAGCTCGCCAGAAATCATCTAACCTCACACGGAACTGTATTAAGTATCCTGGGTATTTTTCACATATTTATAATTTAATCGAAAAATATTTTTAATCAAAACTTAATACACCATTTTTTTCTATCTAACAACAGATTGGACTATTAAAGCAGATAAATGTGGTGGCACATGCTGAACTAGCTACTCTACTTGAAGGTGAAGAAACAATCAATGATTTTGCTAAACTTTCACCAGAAGAAATTTTAATTCGTTGGGTGAATTATCATTTGAAAGGTACTGAAAGTGGAACACGTATGGAGAATTTTTCATTTGATGTTCGTGTAAGTTAAATTGACTTGTTATGTATATATGTATGTTACATACCCGTTAATTAGTTAATTAATTGATTTGTCCCTTGGGTTCCTAGTGGAATACAGGAATTCAGTAGCACGCCTCCATTACACTTCACTCTCTGCAATCTTTAAAAACTGTCTCCACGACAGCCCACAAGCACTCATTTCTTTCTCACACGCCTCGCATGCCAAACTCGTCGTTTCCCCTTTCGCATTCCACTCGAGGATCTGGCCTGATGCGTGATGTCCCCGAATGGTCTTCTCAGTGCATGACTAATCCATCTCCAATTTCTTCCTCTGCATATATGTTGCATTAAAGGTTCTTGGTTGGTTCGTTGCCATCCAGCCATCCAGCCAGATTTACTTCTTGCTTATTCTTATTATTCTGACCATCTGAGCTTGAGTATCGAGCCAGCGTGGGGGGCAGGTGTTGATGAATATCTGTAGTTTGTTGGAAATACTTTTCGTGACGTGCCAAGTTTCTCAACCACCATATAGAAGCACTGACTTGACTAACATCAGTGTTGAAAATCTGGATATTGTTCATGCTTTGTGCTGAGTACAGCAGATCTCCACATTGGTTTCAGGTTGATGAAATCCTATCTTGCTGTCTTTCCGATCCTGACTGCTTTGACGTCCTCATCTGTGCCGTCTGTAGTTGATAGTGATTGGAGCTTTTGTTGTTGTTTGTTGGGTATCTTCATCACCTCTGTCTTTTCTACATTTACTTGAAGTCCCGTCTTCTTTACCTCACCTCTTCTGTCAGCTTGTTGAATTTGCCTGTAGATCTTCAAGTTTGTGTAACAGTAGACACAAGTCATCGGCGAAATTCAAATCTTCTTCTGAGCTCCTTTTTCTGATCCAGTGTACCCCCTTCTACTCGATCCTCACTGTTTGTTGCATGATCCAGTCCACTACAATCAGGAATATCATGGGTGATAGTAAGCAGCGACCTTGTCTCACTCCTGTCTTCACTTCAAGGGGTTCACTAAGCTTCCCATTGTGAATCATTTGACATGTGGAGTCTTCATATAGTTGTAGAATGAGACTGATAACGATTTATGATATTCCATGGTGTTGGAGCAGTTGCCAAATTACTTGTCGGTCGACACTGTTTGAGGCCTTCTCGAAATCGATGAATTTGAGATAAGATAGAGAGTTGACTATCAATTTGCGCTATGTTCTATGATGATGTGTAGCGTTGCAATTCGATTCGCACATGATTTTTATTTCATGAATTCACTCAGCCTTTTCCCGTTGTAGTTTTGAATCCAACGCATCCTTTAGTCTCTCCAGGATGATGCGGCATAATATTTTGCTTGGGGTGGACAGGAGCATGGTTCCTCGCCAGTTCTTGTAAAGATGACCCGTTAATAAATGTAGAATATTATTTACAACGCTAATTTCTACTAATATGAAGGTATATCTGTATCATAGGTCTATTAATGAGCAAGTAATGAAAAAAATTCGCATCATTAATTGTTTAGTGAGTATTGTTCACAGTCTTCATAATACTATAATTACTTGTTATTGAACGAACAAATTATTTTATAATACAATTATGTTAATTAAGCATTTTCAGAAGCTGTATCTACAAATACAAAGACCAATATTATTGTATTTTATTCATTCTTCTCATTAGTTATTAGTAAATGTTAAGTTGATTACACTAAGGGGTGCTCATTTAGAATAATCAATGTGTTTATAGCTTCAAATAATTTTCTACAGTATATGTTTATTCGATTGGTAATATATGGTGATAAAGGATAACACATGTATAGAATATGCAAAACCGGCTTTCTCCAGCTTTCAGTATACAATCTACTAGTGTAGTATCATGAAAATAGCATTGAATAATACAATATGTTAATACCTTTGAACAATAAAGCATACTTACATATTAATATATGAATTCATATGAACAATAAAAAAACTCTTACCTTTTTATATGATGATGTAAGTAATAGTAATAGTCTTCATCCTGTATCCTCTACAAAACTGTTATTACACTCACTCACTTTATCATGGTAATCATTCTGGTTAAGATGACCAGCTTACACATACATACATACTTATGCTGAAATCGAAATAAGATATCAGGTGATAATCACCATTGTCTTGTCCTTACATAAGCGCGCATATATACAAAAGTGTATTTCATTGTCATACATTAAACTAATTTGCATATTATCATTCAGAGTATTTTTCTACTCTGAAATTGTAATAAAAGTCAATGATGAATCAGTTGTACAGGTTAAGCATTAGGCAAAAAATAAAGAAACGAGTTGACGAAACTATTCTTCACCTAGAGATCTGATGGTATTCATATATGTTTGTGTTTATGTGGTGATGCAATGAATTTTTTTATTTGACTCCAACCACATGTTTATTGATTTATAATACTGATGACCGAATTGTCCAGACAGAATTTTGCGTAGAATCATACTCCTTTGAAAACTGTTAGTATTATCTATTTCATCATGCATTGATGTCATTTGAAGAAAACTTGAGAGGAGTGGAGAGGTGTTTTTCTCTAATGTTGACCTGCTCAGTAACATATACTCATGACCTACAAGTCAAGTTATGCTGCGAATGTAGGGGATTGGATTCTGACCCACTAGCTCTGTATCAATGTGCTCTTTGGGAAACCTGAAGGTCCAGGGTCCGATCCTTGGAGAGGTTTTAATGCGATCACTAGGCTAGATGAACCACTATCACAGCCCACTTTGATATATATTAGTTTGTTGGGTGTAGTCAGCAGGAAGCCTTGTTTAACTTGAGTTTCATGCTTGTTGTCATATATCTGCCCTCAGCCTTGAGATTTGAACCCAGGGTATGCAGTGCTACAGTCAGAGACTGATCTCATGTAAAGTTGTTAACATTTCTCATTGTAACACTGTGTGATGAGGTTTTGAGTTTCAAAGAGGTTATCAGTTCCCTTGAGGATGCAGATAACATTTACTGGTTAAGATACAAGCCTTTCAGAACGCACAAAACTTAAATGTCCACGTCTGATGGAACTCATCGGCCTTTGTCTGACAAAATACTTTCAATTCAGTGGTAAGATACACAAACAGATGAAAAGAACTCCAATGGGATCACCAATATCCGGATTAATTGCAGAAGCAGTGATTCAGAGACTATAAGCCATCTTCCTACTTGTGATTAAACTACAAAAATTGGATTCACTATGTGAACGACACTTTTGTCATCATTAAAAAATATGATATAGAAAGCACTCACAGTTTGATCAACAACTTTTTCAATGATATCAAATTCATAACGGAGAAGAAGTCAAACAATCAACTACCATTTCTGGATGTTTTAGTCAGTAGGACAGATACCGAAAAGCTTAGAACCCAGGTGTAGAGAAAGCCAACACATACTGACCAAATCCTCAACTACAGTAGCAAGAACCTAACAACGCACAAAATTAGTTGCATGCAGACTCTATTCAAAAGAGAGCGAGAATACACTGCAGCACAACGAGGAGAAACGAAGAAAACTGATCGATGTCCATCCTATAAAAGAAGAAGAGCTACCCATTAAAATTTATCAAAGGATTCCTATACCATACATCAACAACTATATAGTCATCGACCGAAATCGACAAACCCGTCATCCTACAGTACACAAAGAATATGCCAGAAATCATGACAAGATTACTGAAACCACTAGGAATTAGTGTGGTTCATAAACCAACAAATTTCTTTCAAAGACTATTATGCAGACCAAAGGACGCAATAATCAAAGAAGATAAACCGAATATCATTTACCAAATCAACTGCGATAACTGTAGTCAATACTACATTGGACGAAGTGGTCGCCTTCTTCGCCTAATTCTACATGAACAGCAGTTGGCTATTAGATGTCACATATAAGATTTCATCACTCATTTGAATGCATATGGATAATTATGGCTATGAATTCAATTTCGACAATGCAGAAATTTTTGACAGAGTTAACACAAAGAATATGAGAGAATTCCTAGAAGCTTGGCTTTCAGGTCAGTCAGTCAGCAATCAACAGATGTATAGACATAGACCCAATCTATCTATCAATAAGAAAGATGATAAACGACAGAAAGGTGAGAGGTCAAGCGGAGGAACAGCCAACAAGAAAACCTATGACGTCAATGACACAATAATCAGAGGAAACAATCAATCACAAACCAGTTGGACAAGACAAGCTACTAAATCACTGACGGAGAGATATTGGCAGGTCATTTCATACTGAAGTTAGTGGTGATGATGTCGTCTAGAAGGACGATGAAAGCTTCACAATTAAACAACCCATCTCAGAGAACACAATACAACAAAGACCGACAGGAACGAATGCATAGGTCAGTTGGGGCTTTCTCTATAGTGGCTAGCAGTGGAAACCACAACGCGCACTTTGTCCAAATTTGGGGCCCATCAGCTGGCTGTACCTGCCTCCCAGGGAGAGATGTTTTTCCCGTCGGCACATCCAATTGATGAGTCCCAAATACGACGAAACGTGCGTCTTAGATTCCATTGCTAACCACTATCCATTATTAATATAATTAACAACACAGACAATATAAAGGGATCAGCGTAGAAGCCCATATGCCAATAGAGACCAATCAACTCGTTTCAATCCACGAGGGGATAATACAAGCAACAACACTAATATTTGTATTTAATTTCCCTAAAAATGCTCTCTATATACGCTTTCTTTGGTTAAGCAACCGAAATTTTTGCGGCATATTAAAAGCACAGTCTTTACTGGTTACACATGGGAAATGAAAATCATAATAATTTCTTTCTTTCTTGTCTTGTTCATCTTCTGTATTTAACTGATTACATGTGTAATTTTTACACTTTTCCACAGAAAAAGGTGCTAACCTTATCATTCCATTTACTGGTGTTCATCTCAGGAAACTCTTTAGTGTGAAAATTGCTTGTTTAAGATATATATATGTATATATAATAATAATAATTATTATTTGTCCCTTGGGTTCCAAGTGG